CAGAACATCTGATAAGCCTCTTAGAGTTAAGATGTCCTAGACACAAGAAAAACCCATCTTGGCATCAAGGCCTAGGCCAGTGGTGCCAATGTCCATGTGTGCTCAGACTTTGTAACCTAATTCAAACTCAGGGCATGCCTGAATTTAAACACACAATAAGCATAACCTTTCTTTGAAAAAAAGCATAAGCCCTAACCAGTTTGGCTCAGTGGATAGAACGTCGGCCTGCGGACTGAAAGGTCCCAGGTTCGATTCCGGTCAAGGGCATGTACCTTGGTTGCGGGCACATCCCCAGTAGGGGGTGTGCAGAAGGCAGCTGATTGATGTTTCTAACTGTCTATCCCTCTTCCTTCCTCTCTGTAAAAGAAAAATCAATAAAATATATTTAAAATAAATAAAAAAAATAAAAAGCATAAACACACTGTTATTTGTTTTTTGTTGTTGTTAATCCTCACCCGAGGATATTTTACCATTGATTTTTTATTTTATTTATTTATTTTTTTTAGGGAGAGTGGAAGAGAGAGGGAAAGACAGAGAGAAGAATCAATGTGAGAGAAACACACTGATTGGTTGCTTCCAACCAGGGCCAGGGCCTGAGGAGCCTGCAACCAAGGTATGTGCCCTTGACCGGATCCCGGAACCCTTTGGTCCGCAGGCCGACACTCTATCCACTGAGCCAAACCAGCTAGGGCCACACTGGTATTCTTAATGACTAAAATTTTAGTTCAAATAAAAGTGCAGTCCCTTGAAAAAAAACAACTTTAACCAACACAAGACTATGTTCTTTGTATGCTTGAATTTTTATAAGAAATGCTATGAATACACTCCACCTGCATGTATCTGAGTTTATATAGCATTAAAGCCTTCTGTTACTTGCATAAAATTACACATCTAAAGTATTTAATACACTATCTGATATATAGAAAAGTTGGTGTTAGTTTTTACTGTGCATGCTTAAAACAAATTTTAGTACACTCAAGTTCTCATCATATTTTGTTGCTTAAAACTTTCAATGCTATCCCACCAACTGGCAAATTAAATACTTTTCTAGAAACACTAGAGGCTCGGTGCACGAATTCGTGCACATTCAAAAGAAATTAATTAGAAGAACTATTTTAGACGCTGGGGAGGGACAGTGGGAGGTTGGCTCCAGGGTATGTCCAGCCCGTCTCGCTCAGTCCCAATCCGCTGGACCCCAGCAGCAAGCTAATCTACCAGTCGGGGCGTCTGCCCCCTGGTGGTCAGTGCGCATCATAGAATGGTCAAGCAGTTGACCAATGGTCAGACACTTAGCATATTAGGCTTTTATATATAGATAGATACATTCTGAGACCTACACAAATCTTCAACATTGAGAACTCCACCCTTAGCATATGATTAGCTAAATAAACTATGATAACCCAACAGCAAATACTGAACAAACTGATTGATGTTCAGATGGGGTTTGCCTTGAATTGAGCCAACATGTCACTAAGTTTAAAGTACTGCTCTATGAATTCACTGCAAATGGGCTTAGTATTCAAGATATTAGTATTCAGAACAGCTATTTGTTCAACCCAGCTTTCCAGTCTTGACCCCCCAATGCTCCTTTATGCTACAATCAAACTGTGGTCCCTTGGGCAAGCTTCATACTTCTCATCCTGTATTTTGGCACTCCACTCTGCCTCAGTGATTCTGAAATTCTTCCCCACCTAGCTAATTTGCACTAACATAAATGCTACCTATCATTTAAAGCTTATCTCAATTGCTACACCCTTTATAAGCCTTGCCTGAGGCTTTAACTGTCCTGGCCCCTAGGTGTTGCTCAAGATACCTAGGGGCCAGGCCAGAGCTGATCCACCATCCTCACTAGTTAAGGAACAAAGAGTGAAGTCCAAGAAGGCCTATTAGATGTTGGTACCAGAGAGGCCTTGCTGGTGTAATTACCATCTCTTCTCTTTTAAATCTAAGAGCCTCTACAGGGCTTAGTCCTCCTATTCTAGGCAGGAGAAAAGACCTTTTCTCCCCTTCCTTTCGTTTGAACCCACCCTACCACCAGAATGGTAAAATCAGGGTGTAACCCTGAAACAAGGCACCAAGAAAGCATCCCTGACTAATTTTTAAGGAATGGAAGCCTTGGTGGGCTTGTTAGAAGTCCAAGCAAAAGGAGTTCCTAAAGAACACGTGGTCTCTCCCAGCTCAGGGGTTTAGGGTCCTACATAATTAGAGCTGAAAGGCCCCTTCTCAGTACTGTCTTCTAGAACTGGTACTACAGTAAGCAGTGACTTCGGGATTCAAGATTCAAAGATCTACTAGTAAATCCCAAGACCCAGCCACATATCCTAGCTCCTTGATGACTCCTAAGACCCCGGCCTTTTCTGCACTGTCAGAACATGAGATTACGTTTCCTCCTATGGCAGTTTTCTAACTTACCTTTTCCCACAGCTTTTTGTAGAAACACCCCTCATAAAACCAGAAGCTGCTAAAAGGCAAGGACTGTGGTTTCATTACCTTCTCCATATCCCCTACCACAGGAGGTACGCTCTACTCTGAACCTGAATAGAAATCTGCAATGCATCACATCATTACACTGGGATTAGAGTAAAGTTTGATTTTTCTTTAATACCTTTAATAAATAAAGAGAACTCTGGTCCTGGGGAGATTTGAGAAAGTTTCTGGCATCTTCCGAACCTTTGCATAATTGATAAATCCTCTGAGAAACAGGAGAAAGCCTAATTTAAAAAAGAAAAATCAGGAATAAATTTATAATTTCCACATTAAGTCTCCTCCCCGGAAATGTCCCCCTTGATAGCACTAATTCATCGTTTTTCTACTAAAAGCTATCAAGACATGAGCAACTTCCTCCAAAGCTTCCAAAGGATTTCCACACCAAATTTTCCATTTCTCATTAAAAAAAACACATAATCTCAAAAACCAAATAAAAGCCTTTTGCACATTCAGAATCTAATTGTCTAAAAGGGAAATAAAAAAAAAAGATGGGGCTAAACATCTACATTTGAAAGCCTATGAGAAACATCAAAATCTACCTTCTGAGTTCCAAAAAAGCATTCCAAGATAATTAACTCAAAACAAGAGAGGGGGGGTGAGGGGGGGTGAGGCTATAAACTTTTTCTCAAGTGAAAACAAATTTCATCCTTTCTTGTCAAGGGATTTTTTTTTTACAACAGTACATAATGTTGACCACTAGATGTCAGGATCCCCTTACCTATTACAGCAAGTCTCTTATTTTCAACTCTAAATCCTATTTCTTCATTCTTAAAAAATACATACAAATAGGGCACTCTGCCATTTACTTACCAGGCAGGTAAAAGAGTAAGGCTGATTTGTATGGCTACATCAGAATCTACACATTCACGGAGTCTGTACCTCTTGGAAGAGTGAGCTGGAAGTCGGTGTGCCCTCTAATGGGAGCTCAGACACTCCCAGCCCTCCTCCTTCAGAGATGGCCCCTGAGTCTTAGACACATTTTTAAACACCTTTAGACCTGGTCCTTATAGAAAAAACTCCAAAAAGGTTGGTTCTCTCCACAAGAGAAGTTCCAAAAATGACCCAAACATTAGGTCCAGATGCACTTAATACACATCCAAAGTCTCACCATTTTTTGCTCACTAGTAAAAGCAGCAAGAAAGCAAGAATGATCAATTATAAGGTATTATAAATTTATATCTCATATCTTTAATATAAAGAAGGAAATCAGCCCATTAAGTTTCTTTAAATTATCTACTGTCAATCAACCTGAAATATGCTTAACGGCTCTTCTTTGGTTCCTTCAGGAGTTGCTTGGACTTGAGGCTTTGGGGAAGAAGGGGAGTCAGCTTTTCTCTTAAAGACAGTTTAAGAATAAGAGAGTCAAGGAACTATTCCTCCAAAGTGACTCTCTGGCAGGTCATTTTTATTATTAAGCTTCTCAATAATCATGGGGGAGGGGATCATATTTTTCTTTCCTTGGAAAAGAAAAATAGTCATTATATAATGACTATTGGTAAAGTAGATGATGCTATTGGAAGGTGAGTAATGGCATGATGGATGACTTGTATTTTCTAAATATAATTTAGGGTCAGCAATGCACGAGACAAAGAAGGTAAGTCCTGAATGTATTAAGTACCTATTGGGCATAGTGCTACATGGTGCTAGCCAGACCCATTAGTAGCACTGCCATCAGGGGTCTTAATTAAGGAAGCTGCAAAAAGGCCCAAACCAGGAAACAGGAGAGAGTGATGTCACAGAAGCAGAACAAGGCAATTATACCATCTTTAATAGATATATAGATATAATGGCCCTGCTATTATTTTATAGAAATGGTAGTGATCTGTTATTATCAAAAATATTTTCTTTACAAAGAATGAAGAAGCCAACAATATTCACCTCAATGTTCATTTCTTTGCTTTAAAATATCTTAGAAAAAAAAGATTTAAAAATAAATATTTAGAGTAAAAAATAAAACATTAAGGCCAACCTGAAATATCTGTTATTTTTTTAAAAAAACCTCTGCCCAACACAAAAGAAATTCTTATTTTAATAACAAACTAAAGAATTCTGGAAACCCAATAGTGGTTCTTCCAGAAATTATATCTAACAGGGCTATATATTTTCTGTTTTCTACTGACACATCCAACACACATACTCATGAGTAGTTCAACTGGTTACAATATGCTTAAAAGCAATTTGGGGTTAAATTTATGACTTTATGGCAATAATTCACAAGGGGGAAAAAATCCAGACTATAAAGTCTTATCAGTGTCCCACTGGTCACATAGGGAACCTGAGAAGTGAATATGAATGAGTTAGGGAAAACCTACAACTACTAACAGACATTTTATTAACATTCATGTTATTCTGATGGTGAAAGCCTAATTTTTGAGAGAGAAATATTTTTAAAATTATACTTATTGTTGATTAATCTATCGCTGCATAATATGATGAGGGTTTACTAAAAGTAATCTCACTTCTAAAATTTAACATAATCTTTTCTCTCCTTTGTCTATGTTAAAAGCACTTACCTAAAACCAGGAACACCCACCAGAGCCAATACTGACCATCAAAGTATCCAGGGAAATAAGTGGAAAACTGAAAAAACAAAACAAAAACAAAAACATTTCATAGCAGTTTAGCGATACAATTTCACATTTTAACTTACAGGCACACAAAACATAAGACTTTATTTTGTATATGAATGCTGTCCTTTAGCTCTTAAAAATAAATAAAAGTGTCCTAGCCCAGTGTTTGGCAAATTCATTAGTCAACAGAGCCAAATGTCAACAGTACAACGATTGGAATTTCTTTTGAGAGCCGAATTTTTTAAACTTAAACTATATAGGTAGGTACATTGTTATTAACTTAATTAGGGTACTCCTAAGCTGGCCTTTGCTAAAAACATCCTCAATCTGATTGAGGTAC